CTGGTGCGAAGGGTACTGGTGGTGGTGGTTGCTAGGAGGAGGAAAAAATAACGCCTCCAAAAGCGAGGAGTGAACGTCTGCACGAATTGGCTAGACGCGTTGATGTATGACTTTTTATTACTAATTTATTTTCGGTTTCCTGTCAACTCTACGACAGCATACCTTCGACACTAATTAATTTTAATCGATATCTCATTAAGAATTAGTATGAACGCGCATATCTCTCAATGTGTTCTATTTGAAAATATACAATTATAATAACATAACGTTCGCTTATCGATATTGCCACATTTGCCATATTTTGCGTGCTTTCCATGTAGTTCCCTTTCTACATGTTCATGTTGGCCCCAGTTAACTCTAACTTCTAAACTTGTCTCAGTATTCAAAGTTTCTTGAACTAATTATCATTCGTTGAAATTATCTCGATTTTTACATGGCTTGCATCTAACTGGTCAACAATTGCACGAATCATGTGGAAGATATTTGGTTGGTGGTTGATGTTGGTCATACTAGATTTCGTCCTTTTCTGTTTTGGAGACTATATTACTGGCTGCATTGTTTTAAAACAGCCACCTGAGCTACTGCAGTCTCATTCAAACAATCTGACGGCACAATATAACACCACGTGGCGATAAAATAGGTACCTATGAATTACACCAACGAAAACCTGAAGGTAGGTTTTGCTATTTTCGAAAAAACTTTGCACTCAAGAATGAAGCCTACTTCGCGGACTGTCACCTCCAGGTAAATAATTATCCCCACAGGTGAAAAACATGCTTTTGAAATCGAATGCCAGCTGTAAGGCAGGCCATCGTGTGCTGTGCGCTCTCTAAAAACACGCAGAAAAGTAATGATGCGTCAGGACTGAATGAAACCAAAGGAAGTGGTGTTTGTGGGCATTTCTCCTTTTTTGTCTGACTCACATCAAAAAGTGCGGTAAACAAGCTCTATTCTTAGATTAACCTGAGACAGTAAAAGTTCAACTTGCGAATCGCCAAGTCTTTGAAACCATTCTGAATCATTGCTAGTCTACTCCCACCTTTCTTGCCATATGACATCATGATTATCGAAAGTAAGAATGTCGACAAAGTCAATTTTTTATCCCATATTTAAATATTTCTTTTTTAACTAATACAAACAAGATATGTTATGGTTATACGATACATCGTGAGCGTGAATTTTATTTACCACTACATTAGCGCACGCCAAAAAATCTGCGTATTACTTTGTAGTCTGCCGTAATTGCAGAGCTTGTATTAAAACTGAATGGTTTCTGGGGTTCTTACATTAATTTTAATAACATTAGTGTCAATTTAATCATTTCCGGATAATTAGTTGGAAGACAAAAGGATCGACCCTGTCCCAATTTTTCACCCCTACATGAAATACCCTTTGTGTTGGTGCAATTTAGAATAGGATAGCTAAGTGTTCTTGCTTTAAAAATACAATGATCATCGTTGAATGAAATATGCGATCTGAAGTTATCTTTTATATAAGGGGTTTCGCATCTGTCTGCACTCCCTAAACTGAGAACCACTGAAGTGGTACTGGCTGTTATTTCGTTATATTTTTGTGATACTTCCTCAATTGGCTTCATGACAACGAAGCAACTGTAAGGACTTTATGGGTAGCAAAGTTTTAGTCAATCTTACTGAACGTAAACTCGTAAGGTCAGTTGCTTTAATACGGCAACATCAGAATATCATCTTCCTTCAATATGAAAAGAAAACATTCAAGTAACTATGTCAAATATTGGCGAGTTAATTTGCAAAAAAATAAACATTTATTGTATTGCTCAATTCACCATGTTACACTGATAAATGCCTACCCATTGAGTTGGATCGCCTAATGCAAACAACAGAAGATGTAAAACCAAGTTACTTTAACAAACGTGGACACTTCAGGGATTCCAGAACGGTGCCACAGGGTTACATAAATGCTGTTAGAAAGTAAAATAGAAATCTGTCTCACAAGTTTCTAATTTAAACGTTTTTTTTTTCACTTAAATCAGTAACACTTGTTAGATCAGAAAAGCTCCGAGTCTGCCTTTGCAGTTTACAATCTGAGTACTCAATTTCGGATGTTTACCTAAACCAGGCATTCAACACTAGCCAAATGACTAGAGACAAAAGCAGAATGGTGACGCGTCATCAACGCGGGCCTCCACAGCCAAAGGCCTCCTGATTTACTAAAAAACTAAGCAGTAGCAACGCTGAGCCATGGTGAAAATGTAAAAAAAAGAAGCAAAACGGAAACTCGAAAAAGCCATAGAAAAGCACGTTAGTGAATCATGCATAGAGGCAGTCATGGAGTTTAAGCACGCCTACAACTTCAACGTTTACAATTCCCTTTAAATACTGGAGGGTGCTGCCACAAAAAAAAACGGAAGCTGCCTATACGGTGGTCTGTTGGCTGTTTACAAGCGGTTTTAGGCTGTCTTTTCGTCCCTCAGGCTAACGATTGTGCATGAGTCAACCTGAATTTTATTTGCTAAGGCGTCGACGTTTAAAAAATCAATGTGCACGGCCCAAACATTGACTTCTAACTAGTTGACTTGATTAACTGCTGAAACTCAAGAAACATGTTCGCTCTTAGTAGGATTTGAAAAGGAAATGAACAAATGAGCAAATTGAAGGGTCATCCCGCACAGGTGCACTCATTTGAATTCTACCAAGGTGGGTATTACAAACACCTTGGCCTCTTTGCTTTGCTATTTCCATGCTCACTTGCTGACGGTTTGGAGATATTCAAGCTGCTTTGAAGGTAAAAGTACGTAGGTAGGCGTCTCGAGCAAGTCAGCTCGGATACGTTGAAAAGAGTACCTGGAGAGATTGACGTATAACACTGGACTAGTTTCTGGAACAGGACTTTTGTCTTCAGCTTGATGTTATACGGTATTTGATCGACCAGAACAAATGAGGAGTACTTTACGATAGAACTGCACTAAACTAGAATGGTTTCACACATTTGAGTTTCATATTACAAGAACTTTAAGTATTCAAATGCGTTAACTAATCAGGTAACTAGTGCTTACTTGGGCGGACCCCACGTCAGCTTCATTTCGGACCTTATTTTTTGCAACATTTTGTTGGCGTGTGGGCCCATTCTTATTCACTTAGGAAGTTGTATCGATGACATACGAGAATATTTAGAAATACGCACAATTTCGCCGAAGCAACAAACACACTAAAGGGATTGTGCGCTCCACTGCCACTTACGAAGTTAATGAGGCCTAACTAGAGAGCCAGAAGGGGGGGTGGATCGGCCCACGTGAGAGGTGGAGGAAGCGCAAAGAATAAGACTGAAAAGTCCGGACGAAGGGTGGCAACGGCGGCACAATCACCATCTTTCCTTTTTTGACGCGCCTTTGTCTTCCTTCCACCACCCAGTGCCTAGTGAGTCACTCTATAATGGGGAGTTTAACCCTCATATTGGGTTGGCTGTTCTTCCATTCTCTACTGCGCGTGAATTTAATTACCCCAATCTCAAAAATGTGTAATTTTAGTAACGAGAAATCGGTGATACTTTCGGTGAATTTATAGAGAGCATGTGAAAGCTATTATGCAAGAAGTCTAGCATGCTCTACCTGATGCAGTACACCAATGATACCTACAAGTGGACTTCTAAACGTGCACTTGGATAAAGTTCACCTATCTCCAACCAGACTACAGACGAAAATGCAATCCCCATGGGAGCTTTGCTTCCAGATCTAACGCCCATTATCGAGAGCATAGCAACATGTTTTACAACGAAAACACTTTACAGACGGCATTCACGAATTTTAGGTATTAGTCGCCTTCCTTTGCACTGAGACGCAAACGATTAAGACAATATCATCGAGAGCAATTTATTTTTAGCTGCCCCAAATGCCAAGTTCAATTTTAAGAACAAAACATCGAATCAAAATCAAATCGTTAGTGCTTGGAACACTGCTCTCGTGGTCTTTTAATAAATTGTAGCTTTTCTGCTCGTTTCAGTAAGAAGAGTTTAAACACCCAACCAAAGGACCTTCACTATTCTCCTGAGAAATAGTTTAACATACTCAATCCATTTTTTTAATATTCTACAAGCTGTAACGTGAAGTGTGCTGGGACGGAAGCCAATGCAATTCGGCCGACACTAACCGGTGAGCGTCCTGCACGGATTCACTGTCAATTTCGAATAACTTCTTTCTAACTGGAATTGAGCTTTCAACGTAGTTTATAGCTTGAGGTTCGCGCATCAGTCAATAGGCATAGAAAATAACTTTCTGGGAATCAGTTTGGTTTTTCATGCCATATGGCCAGTTGAACCACCGCTAGGTATGGTCGCGATCCACCATACCAATGTGTTTATTAGATTGGATACTTGGTTTTTAATTTATGGGAAGGTCGATTGTCACCTCAAACTGGTTGTGGGTTCGCACGTGCTTTGAATCCAATACCTTGGAAAGTGCCGATACGTCGACGCTGACTTCGTTGGCAACCGACAAATATCTCGAAATGAAATTGAGAGCTGTGTGATAGTCATCATGATAGGCGACATGCAAAGGATATTGCCCGAGTAAGCCAACAAGTGTCTTGCTGAAGTCCGTAGCTTACAATAAAACCGCATCAATAATCACCCAATAGTTGAATACAAGTACCGGTCTAACCAGCGACACTATCTCCGAGTCCACATTGGCGCTCACAACGCATTCCACCATAGTGCCAATTAATAATTAAGATAGCCATGTTTCGAATACTGGCAGAGCTATTGAGAATTGGTTGCAAATGACATATGCACACTGCCAGCATGAAATATTCACGGTGGTGAACGTCGTAATACAGAGAGTTTACAAACCACAGCTTCACAATTTCGAAAAAAAACGCATACACCGATAACAGTGAGACCTCAGAATTTGAGCGCTGGAATTCGGCTAGAAGGAAAGACAGCCGTATTTCAATGACATACAATCATTCCACCATTGAAAGTAGCACAAAACAAAGGCTTGAAAGTGTTTCATCCGAACGCATAAAAAATTAATCCCCATCTTCGCCCGTATCTGCGACTTCTTGGCATTGCATGTTAGCCCGTTTAGCCTCTAATTTCTTCACTCTTTCCTCAAGAGTTTCCTCAGTAGACCTTTTCAAAATTGGCTTCCGTTTTTCTCTTACAATTGATGGTGCCTCGTGTGTAATAGCCCAGGTGTAGTTATTCGGAGAGCATTCTAAGAACAGTTCTCAAGGGAAGTAGACTGTGAAATAATAATAAATTGCTACTTTAAATATTAAGTAGAGTGGTCACTTACGTTCAACGGTTTTCAACATGGTTTCAGCGACTTTAGCCCTAAAAAGTCAGAAAATGACTTACTACATACAAAAGAGCGATTTCCAAAACGATGATATGTTTCTAGGCGAAAAACTCCAGCTGATATTAGTGAAATTTAGTCTTACCCGAGAAAATCGTATTCTCGTAGTCAAAAACCACGGCCAAATGAGGCCTTAAAAGTTTTCCCACGATTTCATTAGTCTTTAAATTAGGCAAGAAACGTCTATGCCAAAACACTGAAACAAACTGATTGACTATGCAAGGATGTCGGCGTTAAAGCATGCTTTTGTGAGTCTACCAATTAGTAAAACAACCGAGTTTTTGGCTTCGTATGAACCCATGGAATACCATGGCCGCTTTTAGTTCACCGCCAACCCCATGTAGTGGCTACGCACAGCGCTTAGATTGAAGTACTTTCGCTGACGTCCATAACTGACCTCCAACCAAAGGCTCGGACTAACAGTCGCGCTTATTTAGCTGCTAATAGCACTATTTATAAATTCACTAAGCTTCAGAGAGTGTCAAGTTAAAGAAATGGCGCTTTCACTATGGTGCCAATCGCATGCCAACAACATTGGTTCAGACTGATAATGCACAAGCCAGAAAATTACAGCCCGTTCAAGTAAGGATATTCACTGTGGCGTAAGAATGTAGAACTCACCTTACAGAAAGCTTAGTCCACAACGTTTGGAGAGTTCTTAAAATATCTTCTTGAGCGGCTACATTAAAATGTGTCATAAATAAGCGCTGATTTACCTGGGCTAGTTTGCCATTCCAGATTTTGAAATTCAGGTTCAAAGAAGAGGAGCGGTTCAGCTAAAATTTTGGATTAAAACCTGCAAGACGCTTACGCTCAGCCATTTGGTATTGTGGTTTAGCGGGCGTCTGTTGAACATCCAGGAGACAGTCGATTAGCTGGCATAGTGACAAGTTTGAATGACGAAAATCGCTGACAAACCTCAGAGGGCTCAAGACCCCGCCCAATTGTAACAAGGAGGGAGACTATGCATCGAATTTGATGATACAAGAAAGAGCTGCCTCGAATGTCTAGGCAGCAGAAGCGTCGGGGATCGCTAAAAAACCGCGATGTAAACATGCACCGATTAACCTCACGAAGGCACACTATGTACGAAAAAAGGACTAAATGCGATTCTATTATTCGAAATGGCTTGAAAAAGATGTACTGCGAATTCCACATTTTGAAAAAAAAAAATATTTAAATTGGTGATACCAAATGACGTTAAGATATCGACCGTTGCGACGTTCGAGAGAGTTTGTCAGGTAAATAACCGACGAAAGAAGTTAGAATCTAGAAATCGACTAAAAAGAGTAACCACGTTTGTCTGTTTGCTGTGAATATATTGATTTAGCAAATACGCTTCAAAAAGGCAGACTCATTTCATGGCGTACAGCTTACACAAACAACTGATGAATGCTGGCCTGCAAAAGGTAAGGGTATAGTGACTTCGTGTAGGCATGAAAAAACAGGAGCCCATCGACAATCAGTGCATCCTAAGCTCAAAACCTGGAACTACTGGGTCAATTTTGATTAAACCAAAGAGTTGAACAAATTTGTAGTTGTGGAAACGCCGTTGTTTTTGTTTAAGGAGTAATAGATAGATACTTCAAATTCTGATCAAAGTGGGATTAAATGTGAAATTAAATGGGGAAAACGTAGACAGTTGTGCCGAAGACATGGCCCGGCACCCCGTTTGTAGCGACTCGAGATAAATTCAAATTAAAAGAACGGCATTTATGTATGGCATGATATTGAGTTGAATCATATTTTCATTACGTAATGCGCTACAGCGCTGATTATAAACCAATTCATAGAAAGCGATTTGTACAACGTTGACAGAATTAAAAGCACAAGCTCACGTTTTATCTTCATCTTTGTCGGAAATTGTTACACTGTAAATAACACGTTCATGATTAACGACTCCATTGGCAACCTGAGAAGTGCAAAAGTTCCGAAAATCATGCTGACCCTCCAGTTTTGCAGCCGCTTTCCGCATGATATCAATGTTGAGGTCAGCAGCAGGGAAAAAATATTTGTAGGATCGACTGGTACAATCGTGTCTAACCGCAATATGAGTTAATGTAAGCGCTAACCTTGGACTAAATTCAAGTGGAACCGGACACCATGCAAGTATTCGAATCTCTGGAGGAAGATTCCTATTTCCTATGAACACGTAGTCGTATTCTGGTTTTTCAGGATCTATGTAATACACGATGGGTTAGTAATAGCCTTAAAACAACCAAATAAGAATTACGTCAAATGTGGTATAAAGTGTCAACTTACACAAGTCATCAGTGTTTTCTGGACAAATAACGCCAATGCCAGAATGAACATTAGACCGCAGGGTTAAGGTAACAACCTTTAGCAGTTGAAAATTAAGTTATTTGCGCACTTGAGATAGGCCACTAACACCCTTGTCCGTGCGACCACAAACGGCAAATCCAGCGGTGCTTGAATTTTCAAGCATTCGACACCTGGTAAAAGCGTCAAGTAGTTTTTCTGCGATTGTGGATTTATTCACTTCCTGGCGAGCAAGGCCACTGTAATCCCAACCCATGTAGAGTATCTTTAGAGCAATGCGGCGCTTTGCAAATCTTCCAGTAAGAAAAAAAAATAATTACTTCGAGAAATCAGGTGGGTTGATTTTTTTCGTTGGTTTTACACCCTGCAAATTACTGATTTGACCACGTAATTCCAAAACCTGTCCTTCTAATCTCAAAGCTCTTTCTATAAGCTCCTTCAGAGATGGGCAAAAATCCATCACTTACATCATAGGTGAGATTCCTTAATTCCACACTTGACATTCTTGCAAACCGCAATGCACACGCAGTCAGACGCATATCAAATGAAGCGGTTCAAGGATCTACTAAAACGTATACATTTATACATTTGGTATCCATAGGGAAGATACAGACTTATGTAATCAAAATATAAGTTATTTTTAGTATTCAAAAGTAAGATATCACTGGAGCATCAAGATAATAAGGATGATTTGCGGAGGAGACTTTAGGCTTGCTGAATGAGGGTTGTTTAAAAGAAGAGTTTAAAAGGAAACAATTATTTATTATCTGAGAGTTTACTTGCCATTATGGCTTTCTAACTTTCATTGACCTAAGGGCAAGTTTGGATTTTAACATTTGACAATGGGTCAAATTTCGTCTAATCGGGCCCCCAATTACGCTGATGCTCTTTTGGAAAGGATTTAATTCGAATGGTAAATCTTGGACTACTTTTGAGTGCCTGGTTTATATGGTTGGTGTATTTCATTGGTTTTTTGACTACGACGACTCTAATAGTGAAAAGGACCTTGATTAACTCACGTCAAATTAATTACATCTGCCAACAAACTACTGAGGGGTTAAATAAAGTTATAATTTGCTTTCGTTGTGCAGCTAGATCAAATCTATTTTTTTAATTTAGTATAAAAACTGAATACATTAGTCTGAGGGATAGCTGTACTACATCAATTTTACCTTGTACCTAAATATTTCAAATTTATTTGTCGCCAAAGTAATAAATTCTATCACTGATTTCCCATGGTGAATATTAAATCGAAAAAGCAAAGATCGAAGTCAACATAAACAGAGGCCTATGGAAAGGATATCAGCAATATTTGGAAAAAAGAGTTTTTTTTCCAGGTTACCATTCGTTGCGTCACTCAAGGGTGTTTTGTAAGACCAGTTATTCAAAAATAGTTTATGTTAGTGCTTGTGGTGTTTTAATTTTTTGAACCCAGATAGTCTAGAAGTTAATACCTTTACAGATAACAACTCAATGGTGAATGCATGTTCTTAATTAGTACTGAAGCCTGTTTGATTTAAGGCGGTGTGAACCTCACTTCTACTCTTTAATTGGTTATTCCTAGGCCTGACTCTTTATACTTCTTAAATATTTTGGTACACTTGTTAAAGTTTTCAGATTACAAAATGTCATTGAAATAAGGACATTATTCTAAAGTATTAACCAACACACTAACCTGAGATTCCATTCAATTCATTAAATTTTATACCGCCTACTATTTGACAGTATGAAATGCTCTACTTTTACATTTTAATACAATAATTGTTTTGTCCGACTAAATTGTATGGTAAACAGTTTTGGACCACGCATTAGTGAAACGTTTACGCAATGCATGCAATATGGCACAATACAAGGAGCTCCAAAATTTTTTTCGGAAGAAAAATGTGAAAGCCAGAGGCAAATGAACAGTGTACTGCCCTTTAAAAATATAGCAGATCGTTTTTTCAAGTGCTTACGCATAGAAATAACGATAAATCCTATTTCTGATGTGCACAAATTTAAACGTACATTACTTTAGTTAAGACGCCAATTGCGTCATTCTTATGGCCTATCTTTTCACAGCCAAAAACTTTCAAGGTTGGTATGCCCATAAGTCTCCTTGAAGGCGCCCTTTTAATACACCATTTGGACTTAACAGATCCATTTATTGAATACGTTACATTCCTTAGAGCTGCCTTTTGAGAACTCAGCTTCCCCAAGGCTATCGTTTCCAAGCTCTCATCAATTTGCAATTTTCTATTCTCATTTCCCGCTTATGCGCACCTAATTTTTGTGATCCTAATGTCCATCCCACTTTCTGCAGTTACACTTAATGTCTTATCTGTTCGCGTGCCCTACATTTGACTGTGAACATGAAAAGCGCTCTACACATCGCCTTGTCTTCTTGTGGTTGGGAAAAATGGTAAATCGTTTTTGGTTTGCCTCCTTGCTAGTGCGGGGAAGTCGTTGACGCACATTGACAATGAGTCTGAATATTTGCATTTGGGATCCTGCGTCTCTTTACTGGTAAACACAGCACTACAATCCACTAACAAGTGAGCTCTCGGTGAGATATCAGGATAAGGCTAAGACATCTGTGTTTTACCGAAGAATGGTGGAAATACCTCTGTTATTAATGGTTGGTACAATATCTAGATTTGTGTAATACCTCTGCTGCCATTTTTAAAGGACGTTATAGTCTATAGCGCTTGTGTAATTACATGCCAAAAAATTGTTGGTGCATTTTCGAAAAACTAATTGGACTCGGTCAAATCGCAGGCATTTTTACATATTCCAAGACCGCTAATGGCGAACGTGGCATCCAACGGGCCAAATCCCGTCGGAGTTGTTTTTCTTTTGAACCAGAAGGGCTAGATGTTTTGCTTACTTGTAAGAGCTTCTTTTAGTTTCGTGCTACAAGGGATAGGATTGAGAGGTCTGCCCGTTTGTATTCTTGGTAATGTAAAAACATTAATTACATCCTAATAAAACACCCAATACACTTTTATAACAACTTTAAAGTTGGAATACCTCCTTTGGTGCATTACTTATCTACTGACTTCATTTATTGTTTTTTTCGACAGTTTTTAATTATGGCGCCTATGTCAGGATATCAGGGCACTCAGGATACAATGTCTCAGTTGCCTCCCAAATTGTTTGTATCAAAACTGGGGCAGCTTGTGTAAAAATATGCCTATCACCACTGCTCAGGCGTTACTTATCCCTTATCCGTGTATTTGTACAGTTCACCGTTCTTCAGTGACCTTACTGCCTCTGCTAACCACACTGACCCGCATACGGGCTTCAACCCAACCAGAATTGGTTAACAAGCGCTTGTGTCTGTTGGTCGTTGGCCTTATCCCCCTCCCGGATAAAGTTAGGGCTTGAAAGCTGCAAGATAACAATTACAAAGTACTAGTTGATAAGGCAAAGTGATCAATAATTAGCAAAAGATAATAACAACGGAAATTATGAGGCAACTTGAAATCTTTTGACGGCAAAACGTTAGGATTGTCTTTATCAATTATTTTGCAACTTTCCATGCTAATAGTCGGTTTTATGCGTTGTGCTTCCATGGTTTGCTTACAGCAATGACTGTCAACTGAATGTCCCAGTGACGTCTAATGCTGGCCGCAATGATTCAAACAATATCTTGAAAATGGAGGTGAGCAATAATTTGACAGATTTCAATATTGGATCCCTCTGATGGAAAAACCAACCCCTCAGGAATAAACAGATCCATTGTAGTTAACTATTTAGCCATTTTCACCCCCAATGATTTGCTTTCATTTCGTTTGGTTGCATCCGTAATCCCAATGACGCGAGTGTTTGGTTTAAGATTATAACGTAGGCTCTACTTGCGACTGACCACATTCTAGAGCTATTACTCCAAAGGTGATGTATTAAACACAGTTACAATGAGCACATTCATCTACACTGGCAAAATACGCCATAAATTTTTTTTTAATTTAAGCTACATTAAAACTTTTGTTGTTTTGTTTATCAAGCACAGATCTGTTGAAAATAAGTGAGACCATAACCATAATCATATGCTTCTTCCTGATTAAATAGTTTCCATCAAATTTATAATTTTACTTTTTACAAATGGGCAATCATAGGAGCTCTAATTTAACGGCTGTATGTCTTTCAAAAGAAAATTATTTCAAATCTTCCAACAGGATCTTAATCAAGTATTATGCTTGAAACTCGGGACTCAGTTAAAATATTCAGACTACCGGTAGGAAGAAATTAGTCTTTGTGTTGCTGAGTATGTTGAATGGTGAAAACATTACGTTGTAGCTTTGTTAGCAATCCAGCTTACAACCGAGTATGAAGTGCTGTAGAGGTTTATCCAAGTTATGACATGTAAAGGTCGCTTATCAGATACTTTTGTTTGGCAAATGCAACTTCAACTGTCGCAGCACCTAAGCGTTTTCAATCTCTTACAATGCAACGAAATTAAAATGTCAATAAACTTATCATTTGAAAAATCCTCATTCCAAAGTTATGTTGTTTTATAGCCATTACATACATACTTGCATGTGAACATATAATGTCACATTTTATGCCTATATAAATTATCTTGAAAGCGTCACATTTGAAATCTCTCCATTTTTATTTTTCAAAATGGCGGAACATTTTGTTGTTCATCTAATTTTGCGAAATAAATTTAATTCTTTACGAAAATGATTAATTATCAATCGTAAATGGCGCAAGGCGCGTCCAAAAACTAATTTCGCAGCAGCCATACTGTTAAAATGTGACACTGAATCTGTTTGAGTGGTGCTCTGCTGTATTCATGGTAAAAAAAAAACATTTTGTCAGGTGCTCCATTGTGTTTACCAAGTGTGACTTTGAGCCTGCGTATATTTAATAGTTGGAGAGTTTCAGTTGGCTCTGTTAAATACGTTCAGGAATAATACAGTTACATCACAATCCTTTCGTTTCTATTAACCAACAGAATAATCTTTCAGTTCCGGTAGAACGGCAACCAAAATTCCAATTTTAAAGTGTCGTGCGTTTGCAAATTAATCGTGACATGCATCTACAGGTGTGGGAATATATACAAATTCTACATTTCGCATATTTTGTTTCTTAAGTAATCAGCTTTAGCATGAACTAAACAATGAGGAACCATCACAAGACCTCTTTGTATAAACGTGGACACTAAATTTTTTTAAGTGTGAAACAAATAGTTGATCTAATTTTTTCGTCTGCCTACAGTTGAAGTGCACAAAAAAAGACAAAAAAGTCAAATGGTGCCAAAGATAAGTCACCCAAAGACAAGCAGTATCTTTTGAAAAGTGTGGTCTC